CCATGCATCCGCTCCAGCCCCGGCTCTACTGCCAGAACGGTGTCAAACTCAAACTGCTTCCTTAATAAAAACCCCATACGGATTTCCACTAATTTCAGAGGCTGGAAATGGCAAATCTATCATCTGTTTTTATACAGGGGCCCTGCTACCCACCAACAAGCACAGAGTAGCGGGAAGCTTTCCAGACTGTTTCTCCTGACATTTCAGCAGCAAAAGGTCAGCACGAAGGGCATCTTCAATGGAGAGCAATAAACAGATTTTATATTGGATCATTTTTCATCAGGCTTCCCCTCGCTCGGACTGCCGTACCCTCGCACTCAGCTCTGACATTTACAGAGCATCACAAGCAGCAATGCACAGTCCAGCCTCAAAGTCAGACCTCGCAGAGGGATGCTGTGCCCGCAGCCCAGCTCCTCCCGCACCCCGCACAGCAGCCCGGCAAGAGCGTGCTGCGCCAAGGCCGCCGCTCCGCGGGAGCCAGGCGGGCAGCAAAGCCAGCGGTGCCAGGGACCGACTCTTCCACGGCGCAGGGAACACAGCGTCCATCCGCCACGCGACCGCGCTCCAGCCGACTTGCTCAAGGAGCTGTAAGTTCCTGTAATTAGGCAGCAGCTGGTACTGCTGAAGCAAGGACAAGCAGTGCTTCCCAGGCTTTGTTGTGGGTTTTTTTTAAGTCACCCTACATTGACAACACGAAGGCTGAGTAGTTCCCAGCTGGCCCGTGGGAAAGGGAGGGCAAAGTCCTCCACAAGGACCAAGAAAGCTGGTCTCGCACAGTTCATTCAATGGCCACGTGGCATGATGGCACCAAGTGAGCACCAAGCTGAGCTTGAGCTGTGCTGTTTACCATTTCCTGAATCATCTGCTTCTTGGTATGCAGACATTGGTCTAGCATTGAGGCACATGGAAAAAATAGGAAGAGACCCCTAGAGAGCACTTGAGCAGCCTCTGAGAAGAGCAGTGCCTCCACCCGAGACAGGACAGGACTTCCAGTGTCAAGTCTATGGAGATACCTCCCACATACTCCAGACAACACAGAGTTTGACACAAGCACACTAGAGACCAGATATGGATCTCTGAGCCCTTGACAGCAATGTCCTGTCACTGGGCAGACCCACACATCAGGACGACATGCTTTAAACCTGGGGACAAGGTATCCTCTGACCAGGAGATGCAAACACCCAATAGTTCCCAGGAGGAACTGGGCAGAACCAGAGTGAGCAGCTGCACCAGATGCCAAATGTACTTCCACCCACAGGCTTTGCAGCTACTCACACTGCTCCCTGCACCACTTGCTGAAAACTTGCTACTCAAAATCTAGGCCTTCAGGTGCCACACGTGCTGTTAGACCCCTCTACAAGTGCTCAGGTTTCTCCTGCCTGCCTTTGAACCAGTCACATTAAAATCTCCAGTTTGCACAGCCATCAATATGGAAACATATTGATGGAAAGCCATCAATAGCAACAGAGGGCGGAAAGCCATCCTGCAAGCCCGGGCACAAAACCACGGAACGGAGCCAAAGGTGGCCCCAACATCAGCAGCATTGGCAGCAGGGCTCTGACGCGCAGCCTGCTCTCTTCTTGTCCGTTATTACTGTGAACAGTTGGGAGTTGTAAAACAGCAGCAGCTTTTCCAATTACTTGGAAATCAAGAGACAGCCCTGCTGTGCCGAGCTGAGCCATGTGTCCAGGAAACAGGGCGGAACAGAGCATGGGGGTGAAAGAAAATGCCCATTTCTCCTCTCCTGTGCACAGGACATGGGGGAGAGAGAGAGAACAGGGCGTTAAGAGGCAGCAGCACAACTCTGTTTCCCCCAGGCAAGTCTGGAGAAGATCCTTCCCAAAATCCATGTTCACATGCTAGAGCTCCCACCAAAGCATCTGTGTTTCAGCCATGAAGCATGTTTTAAGGACCAGGATGTGAAGAGAGGGCTGAAAATGGGCAGTATCAAAGGCTGACCTTGAGAAAACTCAGTCTTATCATCATGCAACAGATCACACCCACCTTGTCTAATGCAAGCTGATGGATTCAGAGGCTGAGAGCTGCAATTAATCCATAGGATAGATGTGCTGTGGGAAGTGGCATGGAGAGTAGTGCCTTGTCTTCCTCTGCCTCTCAGACATGAGCGTACTTTGAACATCAGAGACAACACTAGTGATCCACGACCTGATTAATCCTCCTGGCCCAAGAAGATCTGCATCTCTAGATTGTGCCCTCCAGCACTACAGTCTTGAGTGTGGACTTCCATCCACCAACAGCTTGACCAAGCCCAGTAGCTCATGCCAGAGACCACCCAACAGCTGGCTGCCCGGAGGGGTGTTCAAGCTGAGTGTCAACAACCATCAGCCTCAACCTCGTCAGCATGCTCCCAGCAATGAGTATTTCAGAACCACTCTCTACTTAAGTGGAAGCACATAATCCCCAAAGCCCATCCTGCCTTGCTGACCACCTCTCTTTCTCATGTACTTCTATCAGAAATTGAGGACAGCCAATTCTTGACATCCACCTATGTTTAATAAAAGCCAGTGGTGACAAAGCACCAGCTGGTTTGTGTTATACAGCACAACATCTACCTGTGCAGTCAGATGGCTGAAAGACTGCTCCACTGCCATATTCATTTGATAAGTCAGTCTTAATTTGATCACATTATGCACGTCCACAGGCCTCTATAAATTAACCTAATGTTTCTCCCCAGTGAAATGTGTCTGCATAAGCAAACATCACTTTGCCTTTATCTCCTGACCCTTCGGCCTTCCTCCTCTGGTGTTATGCCCTGGATAACGAGGTCTTTCACAAATGGAATTGTTGCATTCAGGTTTCTGGTTTATTATCACCTATATGAGAGCCCCAGGAAAACAGCATTACTGATATAGCACTATGTTTTGGAAAGTATTAAAAAAAAATAAAAAAAAAGAAAGGCCTGTGTAAAAGATGCTGAAGCAACATCTTCCTTCCTACCTGGTCTTGAAACATTGATCCACCAAAGGCCCAGACAGCAGCAAAGACAAAGTAAAGTTCATAAAGCTCCTTGGGACAGTCAGAAGGTGTGTTCTCCTCCGTCAGGAGGCATTCAAGGAGATAGCACAGCATCTGAACCATACTCTGCTCAGGAACGGGAATAATTTTCTTAAATCTATGGAATAGAAATTGAAAGCACGGGAAATGTAATTGGGTCCAGCAACACAGTCACTCACAACCGAGGATGACAAGCCTAGAAATGCTTTTTCAGAATATTAGCATTTTACTTGTCAGCAGTGCCTGTCTTATTCCTGGGTACAGCAATAAAGAGAACACCCATTCTCTCCCTTGGACCTGCTGGCACTGGCACATATACAAGTAATAACAGTAATCAGAAGTTTCAAGCATTTTAAAACTTTGATCCTCTTGAAAGAAGTAAAATGGAAGGCTTGCTAAAGGCAATGATTTCCTGTGAACATGATGAGTTCAAAAGCGGTCAAATAGAGGAGCAATAAAATAAACCCTTTCATCTTGCCATTTTACATTCATTTAAGCTACACTTACAGAATTCCAAACTAATATTGTAGCAGCACTGAAGTCCTCCATAAAGTAATTATAGCTATTTGAAAGGTTGGTTCTACAATTTCTGAATTAAGCAAGCTACCAAAATACTCAGCTCAGGGCTGCCTGCAGCTAATCCCGTTGATTTCACGGTCTGACACAATGTTCAGCAAATAGAGTGGGAAATGTCCGATGGACTTTGCTGCCATCAGCTATAACTAGTTTCATCCCCCAGGGAGAAGCTCCCTAGTAAGATGCCTAAGTCCAACTTCCAAAGACCACTGCTTTCACTAATTCAGCCCCTTCTGACACATCCCCATTGTGGCCAATGACTCCCATGCTTAATTGTATGCCAATTTATTTTTATTTTCTTTTTTTGCATGAAGGTGCAACTATAGAAAGCAAGCCGAGGATGGGAGAAGCTCCCTTACTCCTGTTTGTTGTGACTCTGGCTGGTCCTCACCACCATATAAGAAGAGAGCCATCTCGCGTGATGATAAGCAAGAACCACACAACTTCTCTGTGGGCACTGCTTTGAAGGTAACTCAAACCAGGAAGAACGAGGGACCTTCCAAATATCACAGAATCAGTAAGGTTGGAAAAGATTTGGTTGGAAAAGATTGGAAAAGGTTGGAAAAGACTTTAAGATCATCAAGTGCCAAGTTCTTCACATTTGTTGGATTGGTGTCCAAGCACAAAACACGCCCAGGCTGGATGTCCACACAGACTGACTTAATTTTGTTCAAATGCATCAGGAAAGAAATTCAAGAGACAACTGCCTGTAAAGCAATCCCACTCTCTCCCACAAACACCAACTTCATTCTCATCACTGAGATGCAGGAAAAGAAGTGGGGAGAGGAAAAAAGAGGATCTGCTCTCTCCGCTTTCCATGTTGCATATTGAAAACTTTCCTTCAGCAGTGGTCTGAAATCTGCTCTGCTGAAAAAATAACTTGTGAAGTGGACTCATGTCTAGCCTGACACGTCAGGAGACTGAAAAACTTTCTCTTTAGGATCTCCTGGATTTACTTTCCAAGAGATACAGAACTGGAACAAGAAGTACAGGAACAATCAAATTGAAATCAGATGAAACCCAG